CGCGGCTTGACTGGCGTGGCGAGAACCAGCGAGTAACAGAGACCATCCGGAGACTTAACGTTCGCTCGGGCTTTCTCTTTCTAGCGACCGCCGTCTTCTTCCCATATGCTCGCCTCCGCTCGAACATTACGCGTCGCGGGCGGCGGTTGCGCGCGAAATTCTGTGCACGGTTCGCTGTTTTCGAGTTTCTTTTTTCCGGCTTGGATTGGGTTTTCTTTGGGGACTCCGCGGGGATTGGATCGATCGGAATTGGAGTTTGTGCTGTGGGGTTGGCAAGTGGAGTTGCTTGGAGATTAGTTGATTTTTTCTATTGGAAGATGAGAATTTTAGTTGATTCTGTGTGATTATGTAGTTCGAGGTTTTGGAGTATAGTGGAGGATATTCTTGATTGATGTTTGAGGGTGGTATGCGAAAGGGGTTGGTCCTTCGGTATGTAACAGGGAGAGAATGGAGGGGAGTCGATGGCGAGAGGGACCGCTCGGAATTATTGGAGTAACGGTGTCGGCGAGATCAAAGGGTATTTACGGAAGTCCGGTGTTTGCGGGATATCAAAGATTTTCGGCGCGGAGAATCGTAACGGGGACCGTTCAATCAGCGCAACTGTTAGTAAATTATGAATATTCCTTTCCCTCGTATGGACGGAGCGTACACGAGCGGCTAGGAGGTTTCCCGCACACACCGTACGGCCGTGCGTGCCTGTGTGTACACGTGTTGTCTGACGCAACCTGAACCACCGGCTCAAGTTTGTATAGGCGAACCGGAAATGGGGGACGAAATATTCGTCGAAACGGCGTGTCCTTAAATATTCCTTTCACTCGCGCGCCAGTCAACAACTGCGACGCACGAAAATAATCTTTCAGAATTCTCCGATGATTCCGGGGCTATCCATCTTACGGAACACGTCCGTCTTCGCACAATTGCGCCGGTGACTCCGTTGCGCCGCGATTTCCTTCGCAGCTGCGTCGATCGCGGTCGATTTTATCGTTAACGCTTCGCGACGAAATGGATGCTCGTAAGAGTACGCGTGCTGTACAGATTAAATATTGATAACAGAAATACGGCACTTCACTTCGAGTCGAAAGAAATTACTAATATTGACATTCGTTGGTTTCTATTTGAAAGGTGATTCATTTCAAAATTTCTTACACGATCCATTGCAAACTGGACAACGTTGACCGGTTTCTGATTCTAAATCAACTTATAAGAAACAACATCTAATTCTTCCCGGTAGTCATTCTCGGTTCTATATTTTATTCTTTTTTTCAGCGTCATTCAATCCTACTAGCGTACCCTTTACCAGTGAACTTTACGGTGTCAAAGAACAAGCAAAAAGAGTAGACGGTAATGGAATATAAGGAAAAAATTTGTGTCTAACACGGTTACCCTTTTTTGTGTCGATTCCACGTTGGCTGGTACAAAGGGGGAACGAGGAGGGGGAAACTCCGCGAGAGCGACTTTATTAGGCTTACGGAGCTAGTCGTATCAGAACTATTCGGAGCAAATCCTCGGCTTTAGCCGTTCCCATTGTCGACGGGGCTAGGTGTGTATCCCGTAACCCATGTCGGGTTCGACGAGGGGTGGCCCGGTCCCATCGTCGGTCCTATGACAACAAGGCAAGGGTGGGGGCAAAAATAGGCGCAGCCGGCTGTCCGTCCCCGTATATGTGGTGCACACTAAATATGTATTTATTAAGTAAACAACCGTTGCTCCCGGGGCACCGGGGTACGCGTCACGTTTCCCATTTCATTGTGAGCAACGCGGTCACGTGAATCCGGCGGTGTACGGTTGCGTCACCGTTCAGGCAGCGGCGCAGCGCTCTAGATGTTATAACTAAGGGGGCGAAACATTGAAAACTGGTAAGTATACTGATAAGTTATGAATGTTTCGAATGCGACACTATTGTATAATAATTCTACTAGAAGCTACTATAATCCTATGGCCTTGAGTTCAGAATATATCGAAAATAGCATTGCGATTAACGAAAGAATGATTCTGCAATGTCTCTCTTCTAACCTTGCGATCTAAGAGATATAGTTCTACATAAAAATTGAAGACGAAAGCAGAAGATTGTGGGAACTTCTGAAATCATTCGTCATATGCCGCTCGAGACAATACTTTCCGTTCCCAGCGTAGCGCGGGCAAGTCGCGAATGAACGCTGGGTACAAAGAAAATTAACTTGGCGAACTTTCCACATTCCCGTCCCTTCCACCGTTCACATGGAGGAACTCCGGGAAAGACAAAGAAAAGGGTCATCGTCGGGTACTTTGTAGACGAGTCGGCTTTCGACCGCGGTCAGGGGATAATCCAGCCGCGGAGGAAAGGGTTAAAAAGATTACAATTAAAGAACGAAAGGCGACCGGGAAGGCGCGGAGGGGTCAAGGACGAACGGCGGGTGTAGCGTGCGCGCGGTTCCCGTATGTGCGGGGCGCGCTGGGGTGACGGAGTCGGGGGCGATCGAGCAAACCGACCGTAAAGAAGGATAATCGCCGGTAGTCGAAGTAAGAAGAGATAACGAGATCGTATATCCCCATCAAAAAGGAGAGAAGGACAAGGTAAACGGTGGTGTCTTCGGTTGTGTGCGGGGCCGGCGGCGCGCGGGACACCCTTAACGCGCACACGCTCGGCCGTCCCGCGGCCACTCCCCTTCTAAATAATAAACGAGAGGATTTACCCCCGTCAGGTTCGCGCGACGGTACATAAAAATACTCGAATCTGAGAAATTAGCGGGTGGACCGCGCCGGGAGGGACCGAACGACGGTTGTACGTCGTCGCGGGACACCGCTACGGGGAAAGAAGGAGGCGACGAGGGACGGACAGGGTTTAGAAAAAGAGGGCGCGGGACAAGGGGGGACGAGACGCGGCGACGGGCGGAGGCGTTTCGGTCTTCGTGCCGAGTGCCGGCACGGGAAAAAAGGGTACCTAAAAGGGTTGAATTAATGTCGCGATAAATATATGATTTAAGGTGGAAACGTTTGCAACTCCGGCTAATTTTTTATCTGAGAACGCCGCCCCTCTTCCAGCGGCCGGGGGTTTTCACCCTGGAAAAAAGAGACCGAGGATCCTCTCGAGCGAGGACAACCGGGCCGGCGGAGGGGCTTGGAAGGAAGGGGAGGAAGGAAGCTTCGCTCGGCGGGTGAAGAGCTGGCGGGGGATGAAAACCGAGAGCGGGTGACGACGGGGGTGGTCGAATTCAACGGTTATTTCTTTTTTCGGGTAATTTACTACCGGCGAGAATTTGAGCGGACGCGGGCTTTTTAATAGTTCGCGCCACTCGAAGGTTACTCTCTCTCTTCCCCTCCCCGGTGTCCTCCTCTCGTCTCGTCCGCCACCCGCCCCTACAAGCCGGGACCAACCCCCTTGGCCGGACAGCTACTGGCTCTCTTTCTACGGCCAGGAGATCGGCCGGCGCGGAGAGACAACGCGGCGGCATCGTTCCGCCGCGGTTACGATGAAAATTACGAGACTATAAAGCGGCCATCCACCACCGCAGTTTATGTCACTCGACTCGCGGCCGGCGAATTTTACTACATATTACTCATCGCTTTTTTCGAAAGTCCGCCCCCCGGTAATCGCGCCGCGGGATTTTT